ATTAAATAGTCTAGGGAGGTAATAGGTCCTCATGAAAGTTTAGTATCGCAACAACAAATCCGACCAAAGTTGGGGTATTTTTCAGACCCTTATCCCTATATTCATAGTAATCCAATTGTTCACCATGTATGTATCGTCATTACACAGTTACAAATTACGACTAACATAATTAAAGTGATTAATACAAATTAGACATAAGATTCCCAATATAAAAATATTTGTGATATAAAATATGAAAAGAGAATGACATATGTTTTTTTATATAAGAAGATTTGATCAAACTAGTCACTAGTCAGATTACGTATTAATATATATCCATAAAGCCATAACTTTAGGATCAACTCTGACATAGTAAACCAAACATTAATAGTGAAACAAAAAAATGGACTACATTAATGTCACTAATTAAATTTTGAATAATCGATTTACTGTTATAAATTTTCTTAACTATTTCTCTTCAATATCATTGTAGTGAAATGATAAGTTTTTTTTCATTCTTAATCAGATGTTTCAAGTTCAAGTTTTGAATATGAAAACATCTTTAATAGGAAACGTTTTACTCTTCAAAATAAGATTTTCCAGTATAAAACTAAATTAGACCCTAGAACATATATGAAACACCGAGTGAGAAATCAAAACGAAAAAAGAATATTCTCTCTAATATTTACAAGTAATTTTCACATTGCAACTTGTGTAGTGAGTTTTAAGAGATTTTGAGAAAAAATGGATTGTATATAGCTAGGTGTGGTTGGTGGCACACTTTACTACAGCAATACATACATGACAAAGCATGAGACAATTTATGACATAAAAATGATCATGAATAAATCCACTAACAAATAGTGATGTTCACATGTGATTTTTTCAGGTTTTATTCCTTTCTAAGAAACTTTTTGTACATTAGCCTAAAGTTTACTAAAGATAAGTTTAGCACACAGAGCAAATCTTTTGTTTTTATCCATCCAATTTGGTAAAATAGATACTGTATGATATATATGTATCCAATAATTTCATGTTCATACAACCCTAGTACATAATCACTGATGAGAAGAAATTAACAAATAATAAATGGACACTTTGAAGTAAGTTGATTGTAGAAGACTAACTTCGTAGCTCACTTAGATCAATCAGTGAGTATTGGCAAACTTTCCTTCCTTCTGTTTTCAGGGCGGAGACTGTTTCTATCTTCGTCGAACTGCCTTGACGAAATTGAGACAATAAGAACTAAATTTCAAAGTTTACTTTTGTATTGTTTTTATAACAAAATTAAATTGGTGTATGTGGTAGGAGCAAGGGAATAAGGATTATAAGATGGAGAAATCGAACCTTCCAAGGTGAAAGTTCAAATATTCAACCAACTGAGTTACTAAATTTCTCGTTTACTTTTGTATCCACCTATATTTATATATACATAATAAATACTTCATGAAAAACGTAGGTTGTATTGTATTTATTTGACAACATTAAAAGGATTATTGTGTGGTCCTCCTCACATTATTGAGGCTTTCCTACGATGGAAACAGTCTGGCAAAATAATTGACAATATTCATATTTTTATATAAAGGACTGAGAAAAATTGACATCATTTTTTTTTGTTTGCTATTATATATGTGTATTCCAGTTTTGTGTCAACCAGCTTTCATAGCTCAGTTGGTTAGAGCACCCGTTTAGTAAGCGGGAGGTCTTGAGTTCAACTCTCAATGAAAGCATTTTTTATTTTATTTGTCAAAAAATTCTGGTAAAGCTACATTTGTTCGAGGGAAGTCAATTGACATATGTAAATTACATCGTATAAATAAGTCAATTTTTTTTTTATGCATATATACTATACGTTGAATGGCCTTTTAGTGAAAATTATGGCCTTGTCATTGCTCGAAAGGCTAATTCTCAATGAAAATGCAGGCCTGCAAATGTTTATGCTTTTTTTTTTTTGGCATAATACATGACCTTTAACTTGGCTTCAACGAACAATTATGCCCTCCAACTTTGAATGTGCACAAGTAGGCACTTAAACTTGTATAAAATAAAACAAGTAGACACAAGTGTCCTACGTGGCACAAGACACGTAGTACGCCATGTAGGACACAAAATTGTCATGTAGGACAAATGTATCAATTTGCTCAATTTTATACAAGTTTAAGTGTCTACTTGTGCACACCCAAAGTTAAAGGTCATAATTGCCAACTGACGTCAAATTAAGGTCATGTTTATGCATTATGCCTTTTTTTTTCCTAGTAACTACCATCATTTGATCTGAACAAAAAGGTTTACCTTGTCTCTTACACAATGAATACTAATTTGAGATAAACTAAAGCACCAAAACTGCAGAATTTAGAATTTGCTTCTCAACACACGACTAAACACATGTTTTACATGAACAAGTTGGGCTTAGTTGCTTTGTATGTGGTCTCGAGTTTCCTACTCAGTGGCCTGATTTTCTTGAACACCAAGGGGAACTTGATCTTGGAGTCATGGAACTGCTTTGTGCTCTCCCCCTCTTGCAGAGCTTAGCTGGAATGGTGGCCGTCTTTATGATCTGGATGCAGTGATGGTGAGCGAACTCTGTGACGAGAAGCCATCTCAGTGTACATCTGCACCATTCAATGTGGTGTCACGGTACATGTTATGGTATCCCGTTCTACTTTGGTAACGGAGCCAAATACCATAGTTCTTGATTTTTGTTGGGTACTTCTCATTAATAGCCAGCATCTGCCCGTTGCTCTTCTTAAGTTTCCTCAGAAAATACCAGAACTTGGACTTAGCACGAACTTCATTGGTAGCCCATAGCTTCATACGATAAATCTTGGGATGCTAATCTGATTCAGATGGCAAAGCTCTCCCAACAACCTGATACTGATGGAACTTGTAATTCACCATTTCTGCACAGCTATTCCCTCTGTAACGCTTCTGAATACCAACCAAATGTTTATGTAATTTTTCTTATTGCACAATATGATACATCCCAACTTTGTGCATAAAATACAGCCAATAATCAGGGCAGAAAAAATTGGTCTAGTTTACCCCCAATAGTTACCCTTGACTTGCTTCATATCAGCTAAACAATGTTAAGCTATAACAAAAGTTCAAGTTTCACATGATTCTTTGCACAAAATCACAAAGAACTCTTCTATTACTGGACATCAAAGACACGAATCACAAGCATTAAGGAAAAAGAAAGACACTTGATCACAAGACAATTTCTGAAATATGTTGTCTGTTCTTTCTAACGGACAACAAAACAACAACAACAACAACCGAATATAATCATGTTCAGAAATGCCGGTTCTTGTTCAAATTGACTTACCTAAGTCAAAGTAGTAACTGACTCATAACTCTTTCGAACAAAATTTCTAACTAGTATGTACCATGTGACACTATTGGGAATGAACCCAACAGCTATGCCTCTAGTAAACAGGGTATAAGCATCATCAAGCATGCGCATTTTACAATAGGAAGAAATCAAGGTGTTATAAGTGATAGTATCAGGACAAACTCCTTCAAGTTCTAATTTTTCAAAGAGGTTCTGAGCTTCTCGAATTCGACCATTGTTACAAAGGCCATTTATTAGACTGTTATATGTGACTATATCAGGTGTCAATCCACGATGTATCAGGTCTCTCAGAAACTCAAGGGCATTTTGAACCTTACCTATTCTACAAAAGCCGTTGATCAAGATGTTGCACGTTACATGATTAGGTTTTGATCCCTTTCTCATCATTTCTTCAAAAAGTCCTAATGCTCTCTCAACTGCTCCATCATTGCAAAGTGCTTTTATGAGGCCATTGTATGTGATCTCATCAAGGGGACATCCTCTGAATAACATATCATTTACAAGCTTAAGCGCCTCTTGGGTTTTACCTTTCCTCAAGAAAGCATGAATCAATGTGTTGTAGGTAACTGTATTAGCAATAACTCCTTCCTGGAACATATCTCGGTATATCCCCAAAGCTTCATCCATCTTGTCAATCTTGCAAAAGCCTAAAATCAAAGCATTGAATGTAAAAATGTCTGGTTTACAGCCGTTGCTCGACATATCACCAAAAATTTCCAATGCCTGTTGGATCATTCCTTGTTTACTCAAAGCTGATATAAGAGAGTTATAACCCATTATATTTAGGCTGAGATTTTTTGCTGACATCTCAGTAACAAGGTCATGAGCTTCCTGTAGGCGGCCAGCCTTGGAGAAGCCATCAATCAAGGTGGTGTACGTAATTGCATTGGGCTGGATACCTTTGGATGACATTTCATTTACAACTTCATGAGCCGAAGACAAAATTCCCTTCTTGCAAAGACCTCGAATTAGAATGTTGTATGTATAAACATCTGGTTGATAACCTTTAATCAACATGTTCTCATTCAGAATGGTTTTTGCTTCATCAACTCGTCCATTAGTCACATAGCCATTGATCAACGTATTAAAGAGGACATTATTCTGTTCAGGTGCTTTGTTGAGAAGAACCTTTGCTTCATCTACTCGCCCTGTTCGACATAAAGCATGCATCAGAATTCCATAAGTTATAGCATCGGGGGTGAAACCTCGAAGAAGCATCCGATCAACCAGTTTTGCAGCCTCATGAATCCTATCAGCTCGGCAAAGCCCATGGATAATGTCATTGAAAGTATTGACGTCGGGTATGCAACCCATAAGAAACATCTCCTCCAAAAGTTTTAACGCATCATTTACCCGATTAGACTTTGAAAGTGCATGAATAAGAATCTGGTAAATCACTGAATTTGGTACACACCCATGTTTTGTCATGTCTCTGAGAAGTGAACAAGCAGAGTCTACCTCATTGACTATACATAATGCTTGTATCACCCGAGCAAACGTGAATACAGAAGGAGAAATATCTTTCCCCAACATTTCATAAAATACATTTGGAGCAACTTTGGGACAATTTCCGGCTAACAGAATATCCAACGCTTGATTGTATGACTTAAAAGTGGGTTTACAAGAGAAAGTATTCCACATATCCAGAAGTATTCTAGTTGCTTGCCCTGGTAAACCAGCTCTTCCGTAATGCCTCATTATCATAATAAAGAGGGACTCTTTGAAAACTGCCCCTTCATCTTTCATCTGTAATAACAATCTATCTATAATCTTAAATTCCTTGGCAGCCCCAAGTTTATCAATTAAAGTATAGTAGACATCAAATGAGTGGCAATAGCTCGTTTGGCTACTGGCCCACTGGAATAGCTCCATTGATGTTGGTACATCCAAAGGGAGTGCCAATAATTTATTGAGCTGATACGGGGTAATTTTATTGAGTGATCTTTGGAGTTGTTTGAAGTCAAAAGGCTTAAGCAATCTTTCCCATTCATTCTCAGACTCCGACCCATCGCCCCTTGCTTTAGCATTATCACCCTTGTCATCAGTCACACAAGTACAAAATGCAAATGTAGGGTTCCTATTCAGAGATCCTAGCTCTTCACGTATGTGAATCAGAAGTTTCGACCTTTTTAGCATACCTTCAAATGAGCAGTGCAGAAATTTCAGAACTTAGCCATTACATGTGATTCGAGAACTTCTTCAAGAATTGTCATGATAGCTTCTCCAATTTGGTTTATCAGTAACCAAATTTAAGCTCCATCATTGTAAGCAGAGACATTTCTTTACTTGGAATATTCAACAATAAGATGATACACCAACTTCAGATTGATACAAAAATACAAATGTGTTTAATAGAAAAAGCAGACACGGGAATTAGGGTCCCAGTGTTCCACAGCATTTTCCAGTCATAAAGACTTAAAACCAAACAATATACTTAAAATAGAAATTAAAAACAATCGCAGAATAATGATTTCTTAGTATCAAACTAGATAGGTATGGCCCGTGCTAGCACAGGCCCAACATTTATTAGTTTTAAGGTGAAAGGCATCTGGTTGTTATTTTTAGACTGTTTTTTTTTAGAATATTGATAAATTATTTATTGTTTAGCATTGACTCAAATTTCAAACAACTATTTGTCTATCTGAGTTTTAAGTTTTAAGTCATATTGTTCTGAAGTTCAGTGTTTCATGTGCAAAATTTCATAATTCTATATTCTCATGTTCATTTTTTTAGTTTAATATTTCAGATGAGTTCAATTTTTCAGTTCAAATTTCAAGAGATTGTATCCCTAAATTATGTATTTTCACTTCAAAACTTCTAATTGCAACTTATCAGTATAAAGTATTAATCAAAACTTAACATTGTCAATTTTGCTATTCTAAGTTTCGATTTTTCAGTTCAAAATTTAGAACATTATTATCCTAAGTTTCAGTTTCCAATTCAAAACATCACGACATTGTCATAAATATTAGTTTTCCAATTTAAAATTAGGATATTATATCCTTATGTTTGATCTTGAAACTTTCATCATGTAGCTCAAACTTCATGATTTTAATATCAATCTTCAAACTTGTGCAAAATAAGGCTACAGAATAAGGCTTAAAAGGGGGGGAAATGATTCAGACAATAATTGGTTCACATATAAGGTGAAAGGACGGCCACACTGGTTGAGGTGTAGAGGAGGTGGGAGTGAAGTGAGGATAATTAAGAAGCCAATTGACCCAACTTGTATGCCAGCTCGCTGGGTACCAATTCAAAACATCATGACAAATGTCCAGACATGATTTGATTACTCACAAATTCGCAAACTTGATTGAATGGAACTGTAGGAAATCTTATTTTAGACTGCACACATATTTTAGACATCATTACAGGGTCCTTGGTATGCAATACCAATATATAGCAGAACATGTATTGATGGAGAAAGTAGTAAAGAAAAGGAAAAGAAAATTCACCTCTAACGCCAGTTGCTCAAATATATATTCAATAATTGCTCGGTACTACTCCGTCTGACTTATATCGCATCACAAGTTATTTGCTTCTGCAAATTGCTAACAACAGAAATATGCCTTACATGGAGACCAACCTGTAAAACTCAATAAATTAGGGCAACTGCATCAATAAAACAACAATAACATACTTATAAAGTGGGGTCTGAGAATGATAGCGTGTATATAAACCTTACCCGACCACTATCTTAGAAACGGCAAAATTGTTTCCAATTGACTCTCGACTAAAGGAAAAACAAGCCCGAAAAAGAAATAACAGAAGTACAAGAAACATAAGATAATAACAAAAAACAATAGATAGTAAGAGAATAGAAGTTACAATACAATAATCAAGGTACATAAAACAATAGAGAGTACCAGAAATCGAAGGACAAGAAACTACCAAAGCAATACTATGACTACTAAGATAATATTATGCTAAAAGCTACATAGATTCAGCTAGAAAAAAATGATTCCTTATATTTAGAATCTGCAACTAAAACAAAAGTATAAAACATCAATATAAAAGGTAATGATTCTTTAACATAAACAATATTTGGACTGTAATTCTTATATTGGAACTAATCAAACAATTTGTCACGGTTTTCGCAGATGAGTGTTTTACATATCAAACAGACGAATTGTTTAAGAACTATGATCAAAGTCACTAAAACACATCGTTTAACATACAAAATGGATGTTTAAGTTTTTCAGGAAATCTCGGACAAACCGTTATGTAGATTAATAAAATTTGATCTTAGGAGTCAAAACAAACTTTAAAATGACATGATGCACACTTTATTATTCCAGATTATTCAAAGTAAATATACATAACTATTGCCGTCCACATTAAGAACATAATTTGAATTCTGATGGATTCTGAACTTGTTGCCAAGCACCTTTATTTGATATTAGACCATTGATACAGGTAAAAGGAATTTAAACTTTAGGCCTAGGGAAAGCTATATCGCTCGAACTCTTCAAAAATGTCACCAGTTGCGTGTCCAGCACGGGTGAAACAGCAACAATTTTGAAAAGTCAAGTAACATAGAAAAGGGCTATCAAACCCTCTACAACAATGACTATGCCTCCACCCGAGCAAGTTGGGAGGTCGGATATAAGAGTTTTGAATGATCATGTTGTTTCATTCCAAAATGACTACTAATCCTTTACACTGGGAAAAAAACTAAACTTAGCTTCAAGAATACTCCGAGGTAGAGCCAGAGGCAAAGGCAGAGGCAGAGCTACAAGCTTGTTCACAGATTGAACAAAATGAAGTAGCTTTGGCCCAAAATTCAATAAGTTGTCTTTTCTAGAATCTAGAACTCATAACCTCAAAATCCTAGCTTCGCCTCTACTCGGCAGGATCATTTTAAAGTGCAGAATACTATATGAAGATTACTATATCCGTAAGTGGATGATATTGAAGAATCAAATTCTTTACAACTCCATTCTTGCTAAAAGAACTTGATTCATGTTTTCACCTATCTAGTAAAAAAGGAATTATTCTATAGAAGAGGAAAAAAGCAAGGTACTGTCAATGAAGTCTATGACAAACTACGCTTCGACATGTAATTAGGACTTACCTTTGAAAAATGAAAGTAAAGAACAACCTGGTGAAGAATAGTCGGCACTCCAATTTCTCTTGATGTTTAGCCAGCGAGCATACAACGTCTAGGCCTTTAGTGGTATGTACTCTGGTCTCTGGATATGCCAGCTTGATGAAGATTCAGGAAATATCAATGAAAGCTGAAATTGCAGCATTTACAAGCTCCACTAATTTAGTGAGAAATTGACGGTAATGGCATTAAAAAGATTATCTTTTTCGAGTCTGCTAGAATGTTTGATTTGGGGATTTGTTGAAAGCTTTTGCGGAGAGGTTTTAGGGAAGGGGACGTTTGGAGCTTCTGCGGACAAGGATACGAGTTCTTGAAGATTGAAAAGAGATGCAGATCCAGAAGTTGTTTCTAGAAGAAGTAGTTTTTCAAGAACAACTTCAGTATAAAAATATGTTTGGGCCCCCAAGGCCTAGCTCAAGTGGCAAAAGGTGGAGGATTTGTGGCTTAGGTCACAGGTTCAAACCCCACACCATGCAAAGCGAAGCCCAGTATTTAAGTGGAGAAGGGTAGAGGGGCGGGCCCATTATCCACCGAGTTTAGAAGGCTGTGATTGGTCCAAAGGGCGGGTCACAGACGGATTTCTCGGTTATCAAAAAAAAATAAAAAAAAATATGTTTGGTTAAAAAATATAAATTTGAAAATTACCATTCTACCCTTGGTCGTCCATTTGTTGACATTTCTATACAGTAGAAACTATTATTACGAACATAATTTACTTCACAATCGTCTGGATGAGTTTTTGTATAGTGAACACAATCAATGATAGCATCAATCTCGAGTAAATTAAATTAAATTCACAAACCACAATTCAATATCAAATCTTAATCCAACTCAATTTGCCAATCCAATTCAGTTCAACTTCAATCACGATTGTCCAAAAAATCAATTTGCTAAGAGAAAGAGGAAAACTAGTTAATTTCACCAAAAGATTAATGCGATGATTACAAATTCACAGCATATTGCTAATGTAGAGTTTTAATTCACTGCAAAAGATGTCTTAGAAAGGGAAAGAATCAATACCAAGCAAAATTCATTTTCTTTCACAGAAAATAATAGCAAAATATAGAGGATTTCCCAAACTCTTTTCCATCAGTTCTGATGCCATTCCTATCACAGAGAGGAAAAGTATTTTCCAACTCTCTTTCCTTTCATAAACTGCATAATCAACGCTCAACCACATCATGCTCCCGTCTCGCTAAAGAATCTCTTACTCTCAGCAACATCCTGATCTCTGTTTTAGGTCCTTTCTCTACTAAATCTCCTATCCTTCAAGCAGTCCTTCGTGCTTTATTTCTTATGGTTACTTTTGTTGTTTCTTGTCATAGTTGATAGCTAGTTCAATCTTTGAATGATTTATAGGTGCTATCTTTAATCCCTATCCCTATGACACTGATATAATGATTGTTGTTCAGCAACTATTCTGTTGTGAAGGCGGATAGGTCAGAGGCTGGCCAAGCTGTTGGGCCTGGGACTAAACCACAAAGAGGCCCAAGAATTAGACAGCCCAATAATAGATTTGCTTGGGATCCAAGTTGAGTAGAGTTTAAATGGTTTTTGTGGTTATGGAGGATTATGCGTATTGTGAAGAAACTGTCTCTTTCTCTCATCTTCTTTGTAGAGACTAAACTTCTCATCCCCATTCTTATCTTTATCCTTAGTTACTTGTCTTCTCCTTGTAATCCAAGTGTTGTTATTATAATTTAGCTATCAATGATTATTTATGTTTGAGTATTTGTGTTGAGAAATCGGGTTTGTTGCATATTCTAGTATTGACCACATCTTTTTCCTTTACATTAACATGCTTCCTTTCCTTTTCTTGTACTATTATCCAATTCTAGGAAAGTGTCTGCCTTATCATTTCAAAATTATAATGTCTTCCCCCTGCCTTTTTCCCTGGAGAAAGAAGAGAATCTAACGAGTTCAACTACCTAGAGAAACTTGAAAGAGAAAATCTTCCGGAATAGTATCACAAATTGTCAAGATAATAATATTTGGAATTCCTTTTCATACTCAGAATAAAGTTCAGCATTTCTGGTTCATATTAGATTGAACAGTTTTAAAGCCATGTTAGCATACTTACCCATATTTGCTGATGCATGACCACATAAAGCAAATAATCCCTCAACACTCAAGCAGTTAATATGTTGTTGTATTCCATTTTACACAAGAAACCGATAGAGATTAAACTTAAGTTTAATTATGAGTTAATGTGTGCTCAACTTGAAAATTACAACAAAAAGTGGAGGATTCCTATTCCATTTTTTCACCCTTCATTTCTAATGACATTATTCAACTATTTCAACTTCCCTAATGAAATCAAACATATACAAGCAGCAATTCAAAACCAAAAAAGTACTTTTACAAGCCTATAAATAAAACCGTTAAACGTAGGAAAGCAACACGAATTGCAATTGGAAGTATAATCCACATGAATCCCTATTACCCATTTTGCTCTAATAAAGCCCATATTGTTTCAATCAACAACAACATGCACACTGTAATCCTAATCCCACAAAGTAGTGTCTATGGAGGGTAGGTGTATAACATTACTCCTTATCTGAGGTAGAGAGATTGTTTCGTATAGTCCGTCAGCTCAGGGAAAAACAGTTCAAAAGCAGTTTGGAAAAGGAAACAGTTCAATGAATACTCAATAATTTATCTTTGAAACCAAGAAATGCAGAAAGCAACTATTACTATTTACCTTTAGCATGCATTTCCAACTCTTTAAATCTTCCAAACTCAATCCAAATTGAAAACCCCACTCTGAATCGTGGAGGTTTTAGGTCTTAATTTTGTGGGTTTCCAGTACCTCATTGAGTTGGTCTTTTTTTTTGCGATGCCTATTCTAGTGGAAATTCTTTATGGAGGAAAAGAAGTGGCTACTAGGTTTAAGGGATGAAGTTGGGTGGATATTGGGATATGTTCGCCGGGAGAGGTGAATTCACGGCGGCCGTCGCTGGTGAGGTGGGGGGCGGATGAAGGCGGTGAAGTCTTTGGGACTGATTTGTTAATAATTGGAAGTTTGATGTATGAACTGAAAGTCAAATATATTGGACACTTTAGTTCCCTCACTTTTGTTAGACTCAATTCAAACCTCCAAATCAACACAACAATAATATAAATTTCACGTCTGGGTATGCTAGAGTGCACCTCGAGAATGTAAAGATGTTGTTTTCAAAAGATTTTCGGCTCAAATACATCAACTCAAGTAAAAAAAACAATAAAAAAAACATAACAGTTAATAACGTTATAATCAAAACACAATACACAACATTAGACAAGAAAAGCTAACAAGTCATAACCTATGCACGACAAGATAACACGTCACCTCTACTAACCCAATATGCAACCTAACCCTTCAAACTCTGTAATAATGTTCTTCAATTTAAAGCAATCCAAAATAATCACAAAAATGTGATGAGTCTTTCAATTTTTATGAGAAAAAGGGGAAATTCTTGACGAATGTATGTATACAAGCTCAATACATCGATAATCTCTTAAACTTGCAATTGATACAAATTACAGTTCGAGGTATACTTGCAAATTTAACATTTGTATATATTCCGCCTTAATTATCTTATTTAATTTTATTACAAAATAATAACATATATTAAAAACATTTGTTTTTTGGTAGTTATCTTTTATTTTTGAAAAAAAAATAATGCTAAATTTTAATTTAATTCTTTAAGTGGTAAAAGTTTGATTTGGTCCAAAATACATATTCTTTTTCCTTTATAGTAAACCGTAAACGTGGGAAGTTATACTTTTTTTAAAATAAAAAATTGAACTAAAAAACCGTGTTTTTAGTTTTTTTTCCTTTTCTGTTTGTAATTTTTATTTTCCGATTTTAAGTTAATTTAATAATAAAAAATTATTATTATTATTATTGTTATTATTATTAATTATTATTATTACAATTTCAGATTTTATATTAATTTTCCAAATTGATGCCAACTTATTCCTTAAAATTCTCAAATGACTAACGTGTTGATATTTTTTTTTTGAATTTTTATTTTTAGTTAAATTTTGAAAAAACAATAAAAAATTAAAGTAACTGTAAAATTTTAATTTTTTTAAAAGCGGTAAAAACTGCTTTTTAGTGAATTAATAATTATTCTTATTTTTTCATTTTTTAAAAAATAAATAATATTAGTAATTTATTATTTAATTCTATTACATATAATTAATAATTTATAAGTATTTAAAATGCATGCTTTTTTGTGGTGCTGACATGTGACACTTTTTCTTCTCCTATTATATATAGATAAATATTTGGCTATTTGCACAACATTTCAAAGAGGCCAATAATCAAACATTAGCCTTTCAAAAGGCTACTCCTCGTAAATTTTCGCCCTTCGTGGATTACAAAGCCTTAAAAGTACAGGTTGGGCCTTCCCTAAGTTCATTTCAAGTTTCAACCAAAAATTTCTACTTTGGTTATTTGACATTTCAAAAGCAATTATGTATGAAAAAACTAGCGGTGTATGTGGGTGTCGATTGGAGAGATGTTGGCTAATGGTGGTGTTGTGGAAAGTAGCTACGGCCTACGGGTGATGGTGGTAGATGACAGTGATAACTAATGATAGTGATAAATAATGATGATAGTTGACGATATATAGTGATTATGATTATCAGTTGAATGTAATGATGGATGATAGTGATGATTGTAAATGATGACTAGTGATGATACCAGTTGATTACGAGATAGCTATTATGAATAGCATGTGATGGCAGTTAATAATGGTATACCCATTTGTTATATTTCTGATTCACTTATAATTCTGCTCTTTCACAATACTTGATTAATTGGAAAATGTTATATAATTTCTCACAAGTAATTGGAATCAATCATACCAGGCATCTTAATTCAGTGTTTATTTTGGGTAGTTTGGTATAGTTTTTCTTCCCTTATTTAACACATTATTTAGAAAAAATTAGGAGTTTCTTTTGATATTCAAATCTCATAATACTTATTTGTATGTTGTCATAAAAAAAATTTAACCCATCTATAAGACTAATTATCATATACCATACCTTATGTAGGTTATTTGGTGATTAAATTATGATATATTCCAACTAATTAGTGCTTTTTCTAAACACAGGTCTACTTGGGTTGTTTTATATTTTGTCAAATTCACAACTGCTTATCTCAAATTGAGATTTGAAAGTTTGTATTCCAATTAAACATGTATTCACTATTGAAATGATTTATAAACAAAAACAAAAATAAAACCCTTTAGATATGGCAACATTTTAGTTTTGAGGTTTCAATTACTATATCTTCTGTTCAGAGGCGAATACACTTGCATAGGTAAGGATATACGTGCACTTTATTAACTTCGAAAAAAATTATGTATATATCTGCATATATTTTGAGGAACGAATATATATATATATATATATATATTCAACTGTGCAT